AGTTGACATCGTGGCGCTTTATCTCAATGTCGCGCGTGGGCTGCCTCTATTCTGTGATGCTACAATTGGCTCGCCTATATCGCGCAACGGTTGTCCGCGTAATCGTGGCGGCAAAGTGTTGGACGAAACGGAATGGGCCAAAAATATTGGGAAGTGGAAAATTCTGGTCTTAGAATATTGCGTGACACGGATACCGGCACTCGCACAAAAACGGGGACAGAACTCCCATGTTCGTATCCGCCGGGGGGTTACAGAGCTTCCTTCAAAGGTGGAATATTGTTATTAGGTGTCGCTTTCCAGCGGGCCGTAGCGCATATCGTTCTGCACGAAGCGGCCGATAAGCCGCCAGCGCATGCTGAGCCAGCCTGTGCAATCGCTGCCTTGCAGCTCGTCTGATCGTTAGTCAGACGCGTCATTGATGCTGCATTTGCAGCCAAACTGTGCCAGGAGGGAGGATAAAACACATGTTATGTCATAACATCGCATCGAAAGCAACTACAACATTGAGCGCATTTGCGATCCAATTTTTGCATCCGGCGGGTCAAAAATGTATATAGCACCCCGCAATTGCGGATAAGAGTGAGGGGGCGGGCGCGGGCGACGCGGGCGTCGTCAAGCCGGCGGACCTCGTGGCCCCCACCTTCCTTGTCGATGGCGCTCTCCTCCTCCTCCTCCTCCTCCTCCTCCTCCTCCTCCTCCTCCTCCTCCTCCTCCTCCTCCGCCTCCTACTCCTCCTCCTCTTCCTCGTCCTCGTCCTCGTTCTCATCGTCATCGTCGTCCTCCTCCTCCACCTCGTCCTCCTCCTCCTCCTCCGCTTCTTCCTCGTCCTCCCTCTCCCCCCCTCGTCCTTCCATCATCGTCCTCCCATTGTCGTCATGTTCCTCCTCGTCGTCCTCCTCCTCTTCCCCCCCTCCCGATCCTCCACCCTCCTCCTTTTCGTCGTCGTCGTCGTCGACGTCATCGTCGTCGTCCCCTCCCTCCTCCTCCTCCTCCTCCTCCTGCTGCTCCTCCTCCTCCTCCTCCTGCTGCTCCTCCTCCTCCTCCTCCTCCTCCTCCTCCTCCTCCTCCTCCCCCTCCTCGTCCTCCTGCAAAAGCAGCCCGCCGCAGGCGCCGAACAAATTGGTTTGTACACTGAACGTGGTTTGGGTCGCGGGTGGGCCGCGGGTTCTCCACCGGGAACGAATGCAAAAAATGCTCGCCGCAGGCGCCGAAAAATTGGTTTGTACCCTGAACGTGGTCGCGGGTGGGCCGCGGTCTCTCCACCTAGAACGATTCAAAAGATGCCCGCCGCAGGCGCCGAAAAATGTGGTTTGTACCCTGAACGTGGTTTGGGTCGCGGGTTGGTCGCGAGTTGATCGCGGGGTGGGTCGCGGGCTCTCCACCTGGAAGGAATGCAAAAAAAGCCCGCCGCAGGCGCCGAAAATGTTGGTTTGTACCTTGAACGTGGTTTGGGTCGAAGGTGGGTCGCGGGTGGGTCGCGGGGTGGTCGCGGGTGGGTCGCGGGTGGGTCGCGGGTGGGTCGCGGGTGGGTCGCGGGTGGGTCGCGGGGTGGGCCGCGGGCGGGTCGCGGGGTGGGTCGCGGGTGGGTCGCGGGGTGGGTGGGTCGCGGGGTGGGTCGCGGGTGGGTCGCGGGGGGTCGCGGGTGGGTCGCGGGGGGTCGCGGGTGGGTCGCGGGTGGGTCGCGGGTGGGTCGCGGGTGGGTCGCGGGTGGGTCGCGGGGTGGGTCGCGGGGTGGGTCGCGGGTGGGTCGCGGGGCGGGTTGCGGGTGGGACGACGACAACAAACAACAACAACAACAACAACAACAACAACAACAACAAACAACAACAACAACAACAACAACAACAACAACAACAACAACAACAACAACAACAACAACAACAACAACAACAACAACAACAACAACAACAACAACAACAACCACAACAACAACAACAACAACAACACCAACACAAACAACAACAACAACAACACCAACATCAGCAACAACAACAACAACACCAACAAAACAACACCAACAAAACAACAACAACAACAACACCACCACCAACAACAACAACAACAACAAACAACAACAACACGAATCCGCACCGCGGAATCTCACTTCAGCCACGCACCCAAAGACAATGAATGACCGTTCGGCCCCCTCACTCTGATGATAATAGTTAATCTGATGATTCCGTGTTTTGGCGCACTAGAACAGAAATTCATCTACAATACAATCATTCCATAAACCGAAATTCAGAATTACGCAGAAATGTAGCGAAATGCAATCACAAATAAATCAACAATAACTTCGCATGAAAATGCCAAACTGTTTTCGCGGACGGGCGTGTGCAAATCCCAAAATTGCCGTGCACGGTTAATCGACAGAAAATGACGAAAAAGATGGGCTGGACAAAAGGTAAGCAAACGAATCGCAGGATCGAGGAAGGCAACAAAACATGCGTGCATTTTGGGCAATGGCCGAGCGCGGGGAAACCAAAACATATCAAGGTAATACATCGCCATACGGGAAAAGGCAGAGAACCACCGAAGCAAATACGGACATGCATTGAAACCAAATGTCGGACCACTATTCTAAAATATTACAACCCGTGTGCACACGTATTATCGAGACCGGTAATCAATAATTGAAGCCGCTGTCTCCCTCCAACATGGCTAATACGGACAATGGTACTGATCCTCTCTTCGTTAAAAAATGCTATATTAAACATTTGCGGCGCGTACGTTCTGAGCAATCCGAGCATCAGAAAGGTTATCCATATGCCACCATGTTCGGGACGTTCGTTTTGGATCGTGTATGTATATATATATATACATATGTGTATATATATATGTATATGTATGTGTATATGTATGTATGTATGTAGGTATGTATATAGATATATGTGTATATCTATAACATGGACTGTGTGTGGATTGCACATCTGAAACATTTCATCGAGATTGCTGTCTGGTCATACGATGCAATTGGAAGGTTCTGCTGGGGTTTTGTCATCGCGATTTCTGCCATGATTCGTATCATCCGATAGACGGGCTTCCGCCCATGTCCGTGTGCGGTGCAACTTCCTTCTCACATCGGGGCATTTGTCATTACGAATTCGGTCGGCAATTTCATTGGACACATCTTATGATCAACGTGCGAATTCTGTCAATCATGCGTACATTCTATGAAACGACCGAGCACTAGCAATGCCATTGATTGAAGAGCATTGTGCCGGCCAGTGCATGCACAATATACGCCCGAAAACCTAGATTATCAAAACAACGATGACAAACAACTTCTGGAATCAAGGTGTGGCCGGTAACAACAATCACACCGGCCATGGATTTCGACGAAAATATTGGACTGGCTGCCAAAGGTATCGCATGCCATAACGGAGAAACCGAATACGACGAAAGATTGTCCAGAATCATTCGGAGTGCGATCAAAACAAATCGACAAGACTGGCTCGACGAACAAATTCGCGATGGACCATGGTGAGCGGTTCGAGCACTCCTCCGGAAAAGTGTGGCAAGACAATCTCTTCAAAACAAAGATCCTCTCTGTAACCTCGTAGACAATGTGATGGGCGAGCAGAAACATTGGCAAATTACTTTGAGCAGCCAGTATGAGAATCACGAGCCCAGACATCAACCCGAGCTCGACCCAATCGCTTGAGCAACAACTGCCTATCAATTCCCGTTTCCCTTGCGTTACCCGCGTCAGATTGCAATTGTTTCGCGATGACAAAAATGACATCGCCCCGTATACGCAAACCCATCTGACGATTTTCGAAAACTGCATCTTTGTTTTGCTCCCGCATCCTGCCGCCAACCTTCCGCAACCCCGTACTTGTATCTAAAATCGAATGCTTTTACGACGATGCGCGCAAGAATCCCTGCCATCACCCTCAATTTGGAACGCTCGGTGCCAACACGGTTCAAAACAAAACTTAAAATTCGATTTCGCACGGTTGCGCTTTTGCTCTCTCCTCTCCGTGTTGGTGCTCGGGGACGGCATGGTTCGAAACAGAACTTCAAAGTAATTCTCTCGCTGTAAATCCTTTGCTCCATCTGTGCTCGCACTTGCGCTTTTGCTACCTCCATTGGGGCGGTCGGGGCCAGCACGGTTCAAAATAGAACTGTCAATTCAATTTCCTGCGGCTACCTTTGCTCCCTCAATGTGGGTCACTCGGGCCCAATGCGGTCCGACGCAAACTTTTAAATCAAATTTCTACTAATTCTGTGCCGTTTTTCCTTTTGTGTGAGAAAGTCGGGCCCGGAACGGTTCGAAGCAGAATCTGTCGCTAAATTTCTCGCGTTTGCGATGCGGGGCGCTCGAACTTCGTCGGAGACGCACTTTTTACTCAAATTTCTCTCGCCCCTGCGTTTGGCAAAATCAACTCGAAACAACTTAAATTTCTCGGGGTTGCGCCTTTCCTCTTTTCGTGTGGGGCACTCGGGGCCGTATGGTTCGAAACAAGACTTTTGTTGGTTCAACTGTTGATCCTGCAATCGGTCGCACTATCGACCTCAATATCGATTGCGCAATCGATGCAATTATCGATGTCACGATCGATCTCGCAACCGCTCGCACGATCGATGCAACTACCGATCGCACGATCGACCTCACCATCGATCCAACTATCGATCTCACCGGGGTCATTCTTCTCGCGCGCCCACGCAGGCTTCGCCTCGCCCGCATGCGCGACGCGAACACGAAGCGGATTGCCCGGTGGGGGCCGTTCCACGGCGACCTCAGCCCCCAGCCTCGGACCCTGGCCTTGTGAGGTGTGAGGAGAGGGGGGCAGGTGCACTGGAGGAGGAGGAGGAGGAGGAGGAGGAGGAGGAGGAGGAGGAGGAGGAGGAGGCAGAGGAGGCGGCGAACGACGACGAGGAGGGACGAGGGGAAGGAACTGGAAGACGAGTGCGAGGGCGGAGGAGAGGAGGGCGAGAAAGAACGGCTTCTGTCCACCACGCCTGCGGGGAGAGCATACGGGCACCTGTGTCGCATGTCACTGTAAAGACTTCAGCAGCGCTTGCAAAAATCTGCTATTCAAGTTCGTTGTGCCCTTGTCTCTCATGTGCACGCCGTCGTAGAAATAGTCTTCAGGGTACGTGTGTGTGACGCTGTATGCGTCAAACACCTCCCAACCATGCTGCCGAGCAAGCTTCTTCTGCATATCGGTGATCTCTTGCAGCTCAGGATGTTTGCCACTCTGTTTCGGACTCAGGTGCGTCATCGTTTTCCATACAAATCGAATACCATCGGCCTTCTGGATCTCAGCTCCAGCTGCAAACAAATTGTGCAGGCCGCTCGAAGTCAGATGACCCCAGAAACCGCAATTGAGCACAACGTGCGTCGGTTTGGGCTGCAACTTCTGTATCACTTCTTTAAGAAGGTGCACGACACCCATGCCATCACGCCATTGCCGTTGCTTGACCATCCAACGGAATGGTGTGCTACACTCCCCAACTTTGCAAGTGGCTTGCGTGGGGCGCTCGTCCGAAGGATTGAAATCCGCCGACATCAACTTGCCAGGAGGAAGCTGTGTGCGTGCGTGTGTGTGTGTGTGGATGTTTGTGTGATGTTTGGCTGGCCCCCCTCCTGTTCCCCCTCCGCGGGGGTCGCAAATGCAAGTTGAAGCGGGGGGGGGGAGGGGTGGACAGCGGGGAGATTCGTGCTGGGGCGACGAATGCTTCAACGCAAGACCTCCGAAATGTTGTATCTGCCTCAGAAACCGCCAGGATGGCTTGATTTGGATCTTGTGTGGCCAGAGATAGCCAGCGAACGCGTTCAATAATACCTAAGATAGCCCAAGGCGTCCTCCACGGTAGTCCCAGTTGGCTCCCAAAATGGGACCATGATTGCCCTCGAGTTTCTCGAAGTCTTGGAGAGGCTCGAGGGTCATCGTGGAACCACCTTTGAGTCGAACCCCCTCTCACACGGCCAAAGTCATGATAAAGCATTCGCTGTTTCGTCAGAGTCGATACGCCCCTGATCGTTGACCGTGGCCTACAATAAAAACGCGATGACATAAAGATATTTGGTGCGCCTACCGTAAGGTGCCCTGGGGCTGCTCCAGGATGGCCCCAGGAAAGCTCCCGCGGAGGCCTGCACCCGGGGCCAGCAAGGCTCTGCTGAACTCGAAAAGGGCCCCACGGAAGCCCGCCGGTGGGAGTCCGGGAGCCTCCTACGTGGCCCGAGCAGCGCACGACGAGGGCCTCGAGCGCGGCCTAGTCTTGATCCACCGGGAGCCCAGAGATCTGGGGCCCAAGGAAGGCCCAGGGCAACCCGAAGATGATCTCGACAGTGCCCCCCCCAAAAACCCCATCCCCCTTGAGCACCCCAGTTACGGCGATGATTATGATGCTGCTGCTGCTGCTGCTGCTGCTGCTGCTGATGATGATGATGATGATGATGATGATGATGATAATGATGATGATGATGATGATGATGATGATGATGATGATGATGATGGCGAAGATGATGGGGATGATGAGGATGATGCTGACGATGCTGATGATGCTGCTGATACCTACTGATCATGACGATGATGATGCTGATGCTGGTTCTGATGATGATGATGATGATGATGATGATGATGATGATGATGATGATGATGATGCTGATGCTGATGCTGATGCTGGTGATGATGATGCTGATGATGATGCTGATGGTAATGCTGATGACGGTGATGCTGGTACGCGACGTCACGCGTTAGCGACAATGGCGCGCTGCCGCGTGCGCGAGGCGATCCGTAAGGCCAATGAATTCATCATGCTGACGTGTTTGAAGAAGCCGAAGTGCGTCGCTCTGGTGCGAGTTTTTCATCTTGTGGCACGTCTCGCATGCGATGAACACTGTGTCAATCTCCTTGGGCGTCTTCGCATTCATCGCGAGCGTGTCGAAACGCCTTGGCGGCGGATGTTTCCTAACATGGGCTAACACACAACGGACCAGAGCGGTCGGCAATCGGCGTACGGCGTCTGCCCACGAGTCCCGGGCGACGCAGCCGAAGAGGCACGGGTGGACGACCTCCTCGCGGAGGCGCGCAGGCGTCGCCCAGCCTCCCATTCAAGCCTTGACGCAGGAGCTGGGGACCCGGGCGTGGCTCTTCATGATGACACGATCTGTGGCACCGCTGCTGCCGATGTCGTCGTGAGCGTCGGGGACATGGAGATGCAGGCGGGCCTCGCGTGCGTCGCCCGGGGTGGAGTTGAACATCTCCCTCTTGATCGCGTTGCAGGCGGTGCGCTGCAAGCCGGAGGAATACCCCCGACGAGGACTGTGGCAGCATAGGTAGGCCCAGCAGCGCCTGACGGAGCCCGACGACGGAGATCCAGCGGAGTTTTCCAATCGATGGCGGGGCAAACTGCTCGGACCAAAGCAGACGCACAAGCGACGGGAGCCGATATGACGTCGACCGCGCCAAACTGCGAGGCGCGGGCCATACCGCGCACTGTAAGCGAGGACGGTGGGACGTGCCGCAGCTTGTTGATGATGGCGTTCTCGGCCTGGATGATCGCGCGGGAAGGGAGACAAACCTGGGCAATGTACCGCAGCGTGGGGATGGCTTCGGTGTTGTACTCTTTGATCGCCACTGTAATGGAGCCCTTCGCCGACGCAACGGCGTCGGCGCGTGGAAAGCAGCCCAGGTCCAGCAGTGCTGCAAGCTGAGGAAGGCGGCCGCGATGTCCAAGAAGGCTAGTACAGGTAGATGTCGCGCGCGCGGTGGGGACGTCCGTAGGCGCGGGCCGCGCAATCGAGGTCGACGATGTTCTGCGTCAACTTGCGCTGCGCTACGAAACCGCGCTGGATGGAGGACACACCGGTGGTACCGATGTCCCTCCACATGATGTTGAGGATGCCAATCCAAATCTTGTTGTCCGTGTTCTTGAGGCTCAGCGGGCGGGTATCCTTCGGTTTGCGGGCAATCTCCGCTTCGTGGGCCGCTTGGGTACTTTTCGGGGGGACAGGTGATGATGATGATGATGATGATGATGATGATGATGATGATGATGATGATGATGGTGGTGATCGTCATGATGCTGACGATGATGATGCTGATGATGATGATGATGATGCTGATGATGGTGATGCTGCTGCTGATGACGAAGACGACGACGATCATGACTATGATGATGGTGGTGGTGGTGGATGCGATTGAGATAGTGATACTGTTTCGGTCGATGATGGCTCGCGACCAAAAAACATACGGGGCCATCTCCATGTCGCTCACCTTCACTCCTCCAACTGATGCTCCTCCCACTCCTTTTCACCTCCTCTGACCCCCCTTGTCCCACACCTCAACATCATCTCGTTCTTCCTCTTTCTCCTCCGCTTAGCCCGTGCTGCCAGCCGAGCTATCCTTCTTCGGAGTGCGGCGGAATGCTGCAAGCCTCCAGAATCCGCCGACCCCTGCTTGCCGGGGGTGAAAAGACGTGCGAGACACTTGGATGCCCCCCTCCCCCTTTCCCCCTCCCCAAAGGTTCAGAATACCATTCCAGGTTGAGCTCGCCAACGCACCCAGGGGGCTCTCCAGAGCCTCCACAGAGCCCCAAAACTGCCCAAGAAGGCCCAAACAGAGCGCCCGGACAGTCCAAAAGAGCGTCGAGACGGCCCAGGATACCCCTGCGACGGTCAAAGATGGCTTCATGACAGCCCACGAAGCCAACAAAACGGTCCAAGAATGCTCCGCGCATATCGTCCGATTCCGTACGGAAGCGTGCATTTTCGACATATTCGACTTTCTCGTCTTGACAGCGTTGCGGCCCAAGGGGCCCCCAAGATTGTCCAAAGACGTCCCATGAGGCTCCCAGGAGGGCCCTAAAACAGCCCAATACAGCCCCAAGTGAGCCCCAAGACGGCCCCAAAGGCGCCTGAGACGGCCCACGAGGGCCCCAACAAAGGCCCAAGAGGGGCAATACGAACTGACACCTCGAGTCTTCCCCCCCCTCATGGCCCCAGCAGCCTCCCAAAGACTCCCGAGGAGCTCCCAAGAGGCCTCCAAGAGGATCCCAAGAGGCTCCCCACAGGCACCCCAAAGTCCCCCCAAAGCCAACCAAGGGCCCCCGAAACCCTCTACTGGGTCGCGGGCATGAACAACAAATACCAAGCCACTACAGCTCCAACATAGCATACCTAACGCCCTGGACGTCTCTACTCCGCTGGGGGTCGTCAGAAGGGCGTCAGCCACTTGAATAACCATGAAACGTATAATCAGCGAACCATCCGAAGTACGAGATCGAAAGTTCGTTACCAGGCAAGGTAACAAAACGATCCTCGACAAAAGCATCTTTGCTGTCTACAGGTAAACTAGGGTGACGGCCGCAATGGCAAATTTCTGACACATTGTGACTATGCAACTGTTCATTCTGATGCCGGAACAAAGCTTTCCAAAACGCCTGGTAACCATGACCCTCTGGCACCATCCGCGTAGGCTCCGAAGGACGAGTTTCGCCGTGTATAAACCACGATGCCAAATTAAAATACTGCTGGCGCATCATAGAGTCTCCTATCAAAACAAGGTGTGGTTGATTCTGTGCCTGCTTCAGCGCACGAACGGCTTCACCCATAATCTTCTGGTCTTTTCTCTCTGCTTCAGAAGGTTGAGCTGTACGTGCAACAATGTCGCTCCGATTGCGGAATAATTCATACTCGGACTGCCAATCAACTATTACGACCCGCTCGGAATGCTGCGCTACCTCATCGGGAGAATTTGAGACCCGCTCCAATCGGAGCGCCGATGATGTAATTCGCACCGCAGCAATGCCAACCAGCGACACCACACGGCTCCAAGACATTGAGGCTGACTCAGCAAACACGTGCCAAAGGGACGGACGATGCAACTGAAATCAATTATACATAGTATAGGATGTTTGTTGGGAAGGCCATGCCTTGAATCCTGAGCCCAATTAGTTGCGGAACTCAAGGAGAGGGGGGCGTAGAGAGAAGGGACGTGATGGCATGTGTTGTGTCAAATGTCGTCTGGTTCTCTCAGCTTTCATAGGGCACGCTCCCACTCAGAGGATCCTGGTCGCCCCGAGGCCCACGAAGCGCTGCTCACAGCCTCAACGATGCCAAGTCTGGCTTCCGAGACAGCCCAAGAATGATTCCAATGTGCCAAACAAGTTTCGAAGATGATCCTAGCGTCCCCAACAAATGCCCCAATCATAAGCCCAATTAACGCAAACCATCAAACAACCTACACACGTTGCAACATGTTGCCTCCAGGACTGCTCGGCTAAAAATATGGCCCCTGGACTGCTCGGGAAGGCTCCAAGGCGGCGCCATAGTTGCCCAACACCTTCCCAAGCCGGCTCAGGAGGGCACCAAAACTGCCCCAAGAAGGCCACCGAATGCAACAGAACGCCCCAAGGCGGCTTCAACACGCTTTCAGAAAGCCTCACGACGCCCTCGGAGGCCCCCAAGACGCCCGAAGAGAGCTCAAAGATGCCCCAACGACGCCCCAGAGTAGCCCCAAGATACTTTAATACCAGTCCGCGAGTGAGGTCTCTCGAGAGGCGCGTGTTGAGCACGCTGCCTGAATCAGAATGCTGTGGCAGCTGCATGCAGACCTTGACCAGCCAAGCAATCCTTGCAACTCTGCTCGCGAGTCTCATAAACCATACTGGAAAACCAACACGGCCCTCGTCAAAGACGCGACCCCCCATGGCCAACCACACCTTTCCAGTGAGCTCGCGTGCCACAAGGCCTCTCACGGCTTTGAACAACGGAGCAGCCCCGCGGTGCGAGCGCGTCGATCCTTCAGCAAGCAGCAGCGACGGGGGAGGCCCCGAGAGGGGGAACGTGGGGGGATCCTCGGTGCCCTTGGGTGCGACAGCAGCGAGCTGCTCCGCGGGCCCTGGGGGCCTCGCGAGGGTGGAGCGCTCTCCGAAGACCACCCGAAAAAACGCCGCACCCAAGTTTCCTGGAGAACGCCCAGAGGGGCGCGGGGCGTGGGTGAACCCCCGCTGCCCATTCCCCCCCCTCCTCCTCCTCCGCCTCCTCCTCCTCCTCCTCCTGCTCCTCCTCCTCCTCCTCCTCCTCCTCCTCCCCCCCTGCTTCCTCGCCTCGTTCTCTTTCCCCCCCATCGGCCCTTGGGTCCGTTCTCTGTGTGTGTACTGCAGCCTCGCCGTGGTTCGTCTTCCCTGGGGAGGGGCCTATCCCTGCTCCTCTCTCACCTCCCCTGGCTTTGGACTGGAGGATGCCGCAAGCGAGGGGGGGATGTGATAAGGAGAAAGTATTATCACAAGGCGGCGGGGCTTTTCAGAAGACCTCGCGCCTTCTGATCCGTTTTTGTGTCTTCGGGGAAGGCTTAGGACGCTTCTCAGACGGCCCGGGGGCTTCCGAGCCTTCTGAGAAGGCCCGCCCCTTCTCACTTCCCCCCCGCGCTCGCCGCCGAAGGATGGGGGGCGAGGTACCACAAGGTCCTCTTCGGCCCAAAGCGGCTCCAACACAGCCGCAATTCGCGCAACACCACTTCCGAGAGGATGCGCGGCAGCCCAGGGTGGATCAGTTTGGCTTTCAACGTGCATCACACGGGCCCCGCTACCTCCTCAGTGCGTATCCAAGTGGCCAGGGACCCTCCCGAGGATACCCCCGAGGGTCCCACATCCTTTAAGCACCCAGAACGAAGAATCCGCAACCCTCCTGTGCTTGGTGCTCGTGTTGGATAACGCACGTGTCCTCCTCTCCTGCCGTCCTCTTTCGCCTCTTCCCCGCCTTCCCCTCTTGCCCTCCTCCTGCCTCCTACTGCCTCCGACCTCCTACCTGTCTTCATGGGTATTGCCATCTGCACACCGTCCGCCACATTCGTGAGCTCCCGCGGGAAAACCAGCGGAGCGAGGATCCACGGGCGCTCGACTGAGGCCTTGCTTATCTAGGTGCTACCAACTGCGCAACTACGAGCTCCTGGAAGGTCCAGCGGAATGATTTCCCACAGGCGTCCAAACGAGACCTCTGCTTTCCTCGGTGCTGGTGGCTGCAAGCTCTGCAGCTTCGTCAGCCTCGTGACCTCCAGAAGGGTCCAGAGCGAGAGAGAGAGAGAGAGGCCCCACAAACGTGCAGACGAGGCCTCGCTTTTCCTGGGTGCTGCCAGCTGCGCAACTCTCGCACTCTTCGTGGGCGCCTGGGAGGTCCAGGGATGGAGGCCCCACGGGTGTCCAAACGAGTCCTCGCCCGCATGGCCGCTGCGGCCTGCGCGGATGCAGCTCTTTTCGTGGGCTCCTGGGAGTCCAAGCGAGACCTCGCCTTCCTGGGCGCCGCCGGCTGCGCAGCTGCCACCGCTGTCCGTCGTGAGCCCCTTGGAGGTCAGCGGAGCACGGCCCTATGCCCAGAGCCACGTGAATCGGACTTCCCCTCCTGGGGCACTGGCAAACGAACAACTGTCGCCACGTTCGCGAGCTCCTGGGAGGCACGAATCATATGCGGCCCGATCCAATCCTAAGCGGAACCTCGTCCCCAATCGCTGCCAACCGCGCAACCGTCGCCACTTTCGTGGTCTCCTAGGGCGGGGTGCCGTCCTAATCGTACTCTGAGGAGACCGTCTCCCTAGGCGCTGCCAGCTGCGAGATTGCCGTCACTTTTGCAAGCTCCTGGGGGGTCCAGCGGGGTGGCGTCCTACGAAGGCCCAGATGAGACCTTGCCCCCCAAGGACCGCCGATAGGGCAACTGCCGCCGCCTTCGTGAACTCTGCGCGCACGAAATCACCGTCGATACAAACTAATTACAACAACGCCGACATGGACGGGCTCTGGCCGAACCTGTACGCAATGCTTTCAATAGAGGCCTCCTGTATACATCGGCGATGCATGTGCCATGCACTGGCGACGTCGGCGATGCATCGGCGACGTCGGCGTGGAGAAAATTGGGCCCCACATCGCGCCGCATCGCCGATGCATCGGCGCTGCGGCACAATCCCCCGACCCCATCTACTCCGACCCCATCTAGGAGGCCTAGAATCCAAAAGCACCGCCGTCGTAAAACCTGCCTGTTCACAGGCGGCCCGCGGCCGCCCGTGGACCTGCCGGCGCACCGGTGGACGTACAACTATCGCACGGGACGACGCCTGCGCACGGTAGGGCCGGCTAGACGCAGCAGTGACAGTAGTAGAAGAAGACATAACCACATAAACATAAACGTTTGGCGCTCCGCGCGGATTTCTTGGATTCGCGCTGGACCCCCATCCCTAGCGCGCGGAGCGCGCCAGGGGCGGCGCCGGAGGCGCCGCCGGGGGGAGCCCCGCGCGGATCCAAGAAATCCGTGCGGAACGCCAGAAGTTTATGTCTATGGCGCTTCTTCTTCTTCTTCCTCTTCCTCTTCCTCTTCCTCTTCTTCTCCTTCTTCTTGAAGATAGGCAAGGGTGGCCTCCGGTACGCGGCTTGCCGCCCGTTGCGTCCGGTGCAGCAGCCGCGGCCTGCGTGCCTGGGTCCGGCCGCACAGCAGAGGGCCCGCCCAGCGAAAGGCCACGCCTGCGCGCAGGCGGGCGGGGCCGAGGAGCGGCGCGGCGGAGCGGGAGAGCCGTCACCGCGCGTGCCAGCTTGCGTCGCGTGCTTCTCTGCGCACCACCTCGGGCCCACGGAGACGGGCGCGCGTGCGCGCTGCCGCGGCTGCGGCTTGTCCATGCCCGCAGCGGGCGGCGCAGGTCGAGGCCGCGATGTCGGCCGTAAGCCTCAGCCCAGGATCGCAGCTGCGTGGGGATCGCGTGTCTTTCGTCCTCGCCCCCCAAGCCGTCCTCGGTCTCCTCTTTAGGATGATGACCGTCCTTGCTCGCGGTCGTGCCATCACGCCCTTGATTTATGAAGGCCCTGTCTCCTCCTCCGCCTCTGGCAGGACCCTCGGGGCGTGCAACGCACTTGGTCCCCAAAAGTTTCACACTGAACAGCGAGCACTTTCATGCTCATTTGGAACCTGACGGGCCCCGTGGTATTACTAGATGTGGCGAGAACGTCCCTGGATAGCCCGAATTTGTCTTCTCGCCACTTCGCTTCCGATGGGCCTGTGCACTCTCCGGGGCTTTGTCTGGCCGCCCTGGGGCCGATGGCGTGTATGCACGGGCCGCAAGGGGTCAGTGGGAACACGTGGGGCCTCTGGGAGGCGTCGCGAAGCCCAGCGAGGGCCGACCCTGTAACGGAGAGTTCAGTAGAGCCGTGCTACATGAATTCCGATGCTGTGCTAGCACGGTGGCAAGATTTGTTGTAAGCAGCCCGACATGCTCCCAGGCCATCTCGTTGTCAACTGCGAGTATGTGTAACCCCCTGTAGCTATTTTGAAATGATGATGCCGGCCTGTGAA